ATTGATATTGGATAAAACAATAATCAAGATAATAATAGTAATAATAATAATGATTATCTTATTGATTAATATCTTATTGATATGAGTGGTTCTGGAGGGGTTTCTAGAACATTTTTTATTTCTATAGGTATTTGTAATGGTTTTTTAGTGGTGATTGATTTCAATAATGCTGTAAGTGCTTATAAATTGATAGTTGAAGTGTTTACTATGAATAACAAGTGATACAATGCTGATATGTTTTTCGATATTATAATTGATATGAATACAGTTAAGAGATTATTTGTTGGATATAATTAGTATTTGATATAAAAGAAGATCGAGGATATTGAATATAATATAGTTATTATTAAATAGATAATAATTTAGTATAATATTAAAGTAACGATTTTTATTGGTTTGTTTTATATTGATTTTTTATTTGAGAAAATAAAATAGAATATAATAAAAGTCGATTTTTCATTTTTGCTTTTTTTGATTGATATAAATAGATTTAGATTTAAGTATGATAATCTTGATAATATTGTTATTACATTTAAAGGTGTTTATCCTATATATTGACAATTTGATTATATATTTTTGCTGTGGAATATCAATATTAAGGGATTGATTAGTTATTCTGTTAATAGTGATAATTGCTATCTCACCAAAGTTGAGTTGTAATGAATTTACTATTAGTTTGGTTATCCATTTGTGTATAAGTTTTATAAGATGCTTAAATGTTTTGAATATAATGAAGACTTTGAGGTAATCAAATAACTAATTAAATTTTGTTATTATTATTAAATCTATGATAAGTTATCTAGTAAATTCAAATTCTCTTTACTCGATAAGGATTTTGAGTTTAATTATATTATATTTATTAATATGCTTTATATTAATAATAATCCGATTTTATATATTATTGATGAAGCTATATATTTTTAAGCTGCTCGATAACTAAGTAATGTATTTGTGAAATATATATAAAATAAACTTTGTGAGTATTGAATTGATATATATATTGGTTTATTAAAGTATATTATTTATGATGTTGATATTAATTTTATTGGAAAAGAGTTTCAATAATATGTTATGTTAATATCTATTCAAATAAAGATAGTTCCTGTGGAGGTGTATTATTCAATCAATATTATTGAGAGATTTTATGTATTATTGTGTAGATCTTATAAAATTATTTATAAAGAAGTTTATAAATTTGGTGTTTGTAAGGTAGTTATATTTCAAATAGCTATAAAGGCAATTAATGATATTACTGAATCTAATGGTTTAGTATCTATATTATTTGTTTTTGGGATATTTCTCTGTATGATTGATATCAGTTTTCCGATATTTATTATTCAATAGTATACTACTGCGATTTCTAAAACTATAATAGAGATTTGTAGATTATATAGTTTTATGTAAGTATAAAAGGCTTTGAATATATATAATGGATCTTTTATAATTATATTTTATGATTTATTACTGAATAGTAAGATTTTGGTTTGGAAGAAGGGTAATGAAATAGCTATTAGTAAATGGAAAGGACCTTTTTTATTTATCAGTATGGAAAGGGAAATATGTATTTTTGATTTATTTTATGGATTTATGAGATTTAGGTTTATATTGGTAAAGCCATATTATAAGTGATTAGAAGCTGGATGTATTGAGGAGATTGAAGAAATTGATTATAATATTGATTTTGAGGTAATTTTACCAAAATCTGGTAAAGTTATATTGCTTTCTTCAGGAATAGTGGTTATACGTTTAACAAATCTAAAAGAATTCTTTTTGGATTTATTTAAGAACAATTAGATTTCTATTCTGATATCTTTTTTGTAAGTAATTATATTCCAGATTCGAGTTTATATACAAGATTATTATTCCGAATATTTTATTACTAATTCTAAGGATTTTATTTTGTATAAAGAATCCAGAAAGAAAAAGATTAATAAATTAATAATTAAGGATATATTCGAGGTTATATTATTTTTGAATATTCCTTTTGATATACGAATTTTCAAGTTGTGATTTGTTGATAAAATCAAAAACAAGAAAACGGATATTGAATTCTATAAATCGAGATTAGTTATTTAAGTATATAATGATATTGATAAGATATCTGTATTAATATAATCCCCAACAATTTAACAATTGTGTTAATATATTTTAATCTTATTAGCTGTAAATATTCGAAAGACAGGTATAGGAGTGTATATTCGAGATATCACTTAGATATATATTCAATCCACTTCGAATTTGTATTACACTTTTTATATTTATATTTTAAAAGAAATGGATTTATTAATTAATATAATTTTATTAATTGTTAAATCATTGTATAATGTTTTTAAGGTAGGAAACTATTAGTTCTGGATATATTATATCTATTATTATGAGAAGCTTAAGATGTAATAATCTATGTATGATTTTTGTTTATTATATATTAATGATAAAAGAACTAAATTTGATATTATAAAACTTTAAATAGATAATATATTTATTATTAGGAATAATATGTTTATATAAACTGAGGATAAGCAATTCAAGCAGGTTGGTTTTATAGCTAAGGATTGTAAGGAATTCATTTATAATTATTTATTGAAATTTAATAGTATTATTCTTATATTTAAGGGTAATAATATTTATTTTGATTAGGAGAAGTAATATAACAATTTGTAATCTGTATTTATTAAATCTATGAATATATATGGTATATATAGTAAAATTCGAAAGTATACTTCTATATATAAACAATATATTATATAACAAGTTTGTGGAGTATATATTATAATTATGTGTTAACCCGAAGTATTTTTCGATCTGTTTATGGTAATGTAAATGATTCAATTCAATAAGAATAATATTATAATATTAAACAAGTATATTAAATAGTAAAAAGAAAATTTTGCTAAAGGATTTAAATATATATTACTTAATCTAGATTTATTTAAAATTGTTATTTTTGCTGATATTTCTTTTGTGAATAATAAGAACTATTTGTTTCAAATAGGCTATATAATTGTAATAATAGATAAATACAATAATACTAATATCATTTATTAGTTATTCATTAAATATAAAAGAGTTATATATAGTATTTTAGTATTCGAATTATATGAATTAGTTTAGGGATTCGATATCAATATAGCAATCACTTCTACAATTAGCGCCATTCTCAATAAAAAGATTCCATTAGTTTTATGTACTAATTCCAAGTCATTATACAATCTACTTACAAAACTGGAAATAACTAGTGAAAAGAGATTAATGATTGATATTATGGCACTATATTAATTCTATGAGTGGAAAGAGATTGTTGAAATAATCTGGATTGATGATTCAATCAATCCGGTCGATGTGATAATAAAAGGAAAACTGTGTTAAGCTTTTGCTGATCTAATTAATACGAATAAGATTGATATCAAGGTAATGAAGTGGGTGGAATGGGATTAAGGGAAGGAAAGGATTGATTCTGCTGGTAAAAGGTTAGGGACTTTAACTAATAGATAAAGGATATTTATGATTTCACGAATTTCTTTTCTGCTATTGTATTTGAAGCTATAAAAGAGAGTTCCGAGTGTATGGATAAGGGAATTCATTCAAGGGAATTCATTTCAATATAAAGGCAACTGTATTAAGGTTATTAAGCGAAAGCGAAGGAGATTAGCTTTTTTAGTAGTGCCTATATAAGGCCTACTATTTCCCTCATTTAGCTAGCTCCTTAGATTGAATACAAATAGACATTTAGGGGCCTACACATAGTGGGAACCACGTCTTCCGTATCTCTCTCAAACCAACAATCTTCAAAAGGATTGTTTCGAAGCTTTTAAAGCTATTCCCAAAACTAGTTGATGGCTTGCTCTAAAAAGATTGAATGAAAAAAATTATTAGAATCAATACAAAGTGACGACTAATATAACATAGATATAGAACTAAAATAAGACTTTTTATTAATTCCTTTGAAACCTTTTTCCTGAAGCTATATATATGTGAAAACTCTTCGCTTCCGGATTAATAGTCGGCCCGATATCGATTCCATATCGTATCAATGCCCGTAACAGCCTATTATAGGGAAGGACGAGTAGGTTTTGAAAACGGAATAAAGTATATATAGATTTTAAGAAAAAGATGTGTATATTGAGAACGTTAATGAATATAATAAATATAATTGAATTTACTTCTAAAGATATAACTATATTCTTAATACGAATATATATTTTAAATAGATAGTTATAAGGACTTACTATCAAATAATATAAAGAAAGTATAAAAAAAAAAGACGAAGTTCTTATTTATACTAGATAAGACTATTTATATATGAGTGTACTAGTATTTAGTGTATTATAAAAGATTGAAATAATTAAAAGATTCAAATAATCAAAAGATTCAAATAATCAAAAGATTTAAATAGTTTGAGAGATTTAAGAAATTGAAATGATTAGAATGATTAGAATGATTAGAATGATTAGAATGATTAGAATGATTAGAATGATTAGAATGATTAGAATGATTAGAATGATTAGAATGATTAGAATGATTAGAATGATTAGAATGATTAGAATGATTAGAATGATTAGAATGATTAGAATGATTAGAATGATTTGAAAGTGAATATAAAATTCAAAATTTATTTTGGATTGAAAAATTCGCATAAAGTGCTATACTTAAGATCACCAAGGCCAACACTTGGAACGGCTACGAAAAAGGACCCTAAATCCAAAGGCTGCCTATGCGGCCTATGTGAGCAGGATAAATCGACAAGTGTCGCATAAAAGGAAAAGCTTTCGGGATTATTGTCAAGGCTGGACAGAACAAGCACCAAGTTTCTGGGTTTCATAATAAAGGCAGGATAAATCAACAAGTGTCGCACAAAAGGAGAAGCTTTGGGGATCATTATCAAGGCTGGACAGGACAGGCATCAGGTTTCTGGATTCCATAGTAAAGGCAGGATAAATCAACAAATATCGCACAGAAGAAGGAGCTTTGGGAGAACAAGCACCAAGTTCCTGGGTTCCATAATGGAGATATACAGTTTTCCAGGCGGCGTATACATAAGCTCACTCCTAGTGGAAAGAAATTATCAATGCCCATACCCATCGTGTCCTAAAGGTGGTTTCTCATTTGCAACTTTAAACGGTGGTTCCTCATGTCCAACTTTAAACGGTTTGAAAACGCATATCATTACAGATGCGAGGGCTACTGGCAAATCTGAGCAGCAGTTATCTATTCGCAGTTATCTACTCGAGCTGATCAATGGCTCGAGGATGAGTTCTCGGCTAGTAGGCAGACTGGAATATCCCATACCAGGAAGCGAAAATATGATGAGTTTGAGGAGGGTTTGAATATATTAAAGGTGGTGAAGGAGAGAAATGGCGTTCCATTGTTGCTAGCAAGCCCAAATCCTGCGCCTTGTGAGGCTGGTGAACTGAAGTCTATGCTCTCTGGCCCGAATCCTGCGCCTTGTAAGGCTAGTGAACTGAAGTCTATGCTCTGTGGCCTGAATCCTGTGCCTTGTGAGGCTGGTGAACTGAAGTCTATGCTCTTTGGTCTGAATCCTGTACCTTGTGAGATAAGTTTGTTGAAACAGGAAGCTAGTAAACTGAAGTCTATACTCTTTGGTCTGAGTCCTATGCCTTATGAGGCTAATAAACTGAAGTCTATGCTCTTTGGTCTGAATACTGTATCTTATAAAACGAGTTTGTTGGAAGGAGAAGCTGGTAAACTGAAGTCTATGCTCTCTGGCCTGAATCCTGCGCCTTGTGAAACGAGTTTGTTGGAAGGGGAAGCTGGGTTGAAACCTTTACTGAGTTTCCGGAGAATGCGAGGAGTAACAAGACGTTCATACTGGATTCCAATAATCATTCTCTATCCTGACTTAGTTACTCATACTTACTAGGTATGTGGGACCCCACGACCGCGTCTATCTCTCAACTGGTGGGCCTGTTTGAGTTCTTCTTGATAGTTCAAAACAGCCGGCTCTTTCTCCATCAAATGAAAAGGTGGTGTGGTGTAATGGTAGCACGTGGTGTTGTGGTTTCTCCTCTAAGGGTCTTCACGAAGTCGAGTCATTATAGACTCATAATTGCCCGCTTCAATCTGGGTTCGATTCCCAGCACCGCCAATGGCATTCTTTTTGCTCTTTTCCACAAGTTTTGAGGTTGTTGTGATGTTTTTTCGTGGTTGTGGTGAAGATTTTGACGAGAATAATTTTAGTCACGTGGATGAATTTTTTTGAGTGGGGTGAAGAATTTTGGTGGGGGTTCCAAATAATTGTTAGGTAATTCCGAGAAAGGGATCATCCACTTGATTCGATACTAAGGAGAAAAGGGTAGAAAACTAGGTAGAATATGGAACACGGAATAGGTAGAGCGGGAGAATTGGCGCAGTTCATGAACTACAAATAAACTTTCAATGGTGATGATTGGGGTCGACTATTCCAAGAAAGGTATGCTCGTTGCTCACTAATCCATGTAGCTTACCGACTTCTCAACAAGTCTAGACAAAGAGCTTGGGATATGTACAAGCTCAAAAACATTCATCATGTCTTGCACACGACTTTCACCAAGAACGTGTATACGTGCTCAAATAGACGCGTTGACTTTGACAGCTGGTCCCGAAGCGAAATTTGTGAATTTCGAGTCAGTCATCATTCGTGTCCCTCCATACTTGTTGTCGGTCCAAATTGATCAGGTATTGATTGTCATTCATGACTATTACCAACGGGCCGAAAGATCAGTGAGCGCTGAGGAAGAAAGAAAAGATGCAAGACAAAAAATTGAAAGACAGCATGAGTGGTGGGGCTGGCCAAGTATAGCTCCACTAACTAAATGGAGCTGGAGCTTGAGCTTGAGCTTGGGCTGGGGCTACGACTCTAGGAGACCCAGAAAATGTAATGCCGATATTATGACATAACTATAAGACATTTGAGTATTCCCAGATTGTTCATTGATCGAATCTTGGATGAAGGTACAGACAGCTGTGATGATGTATGATCTAAGAGATCAGATCAATTCATGAACAGAAAGGAGGTCAAATTCTGGAACTGCAAGTGACGCAAGACTGGCGGAGAGACAGAGAGTGCACTCGATTGAAATTTTTGCTCGAGCTCAGTTGCGCTGGCAAAATAAAAAAATGTTTGCATTGTCTCCACTGCCCGCCATGATTGAAATTTTCGCGACCGAGCAACTGTAAAACAATGGAATGCGAACAAAATGGAAATTTGAATTGCCACATCATTTTGCGCTCCATTGCGCTCCATCAATCGCGTTGAAGTTTGAACAATGAATAGGCGGTGTATTGAAATCTCAAAGTCAGAATGTAGTAGTCAGATTCTAATGCGGATCAGACTTGTTTAGGATTCCATTGTGTTAAATGTTGAAAAGGCAGAAGATGTTGTAGGAGAATAACTTTGCGCTTGGAAAGTATCGTATACAAACAGACACAAACAAAGTGAAGTGGTAGGATATTCTACTTGGTGGGACCGTAGGATCGATCCTATTTTGGCGGCGGGGTCATGATATTGTGAAATTGTGACATTGTGAAATTGGGAATTGTAAATTCGTATCGCCCTACCATAGGTACTCCATACATGGATATGAAGATCACGTTCGGACTGCCACCCGAGCTGAGATGTCTCGGGGACCCTTTCCTTCGGTTCCTTACCGCAACGTTATCGTTATCTGGGTGTGGACGGATAAATGGATCTTGGATATCAGTTCACTCGATCCGATGAGGCTGTACCCTTTCTCTGGAAGGGATGTTTAATATCGTGGGAAAATGATTGGAAACTGGAGGGGCAGGAAGAAAGCTTCTAGCTTGCAATAATCAATACTCCGGATTGAAAATTAAGAGAATGGCTCGAGAATGGATAGGTACTAGGTAGGGAAAAGCTGATAGGAAAAATAATCATGAGCTGATCCTTGTTCACCTGAAGGATTAGTTCTAGACGAACGGTTCGTTCAATTACCGAAGGAGACGAAATTAAGTTTTTTTGAGTTTTACCAGCCACGGCCGACGGGAATGAAGAGTGGTGGAAGAGGAGGAGATGGCCGAACGACGACAGGATTTACCTAGGCACGAGGCACGTATTCAAATCGAATTATCAAGTGTCAAGTATTAAGTATTCAATAGCGCGAAAACTTTGTGATATCTCCTAGGGAGTCAACTTCATGGCTCAAAGTACGGAAAGCGTCTAATACCTACTAGGTAGGTAATGAGAGGTCCAAGAGGTTTGTGTGATACAATTAGTTGATTTGGAGGAAATGAAGGAGGTTGACAGGAAATGAAGGAGAGGAAATGAAGCTGCGGATAATAATGAAATCAATATCAGTCAGTACCGATCAATACCTATCAATACCTACCCAGGTAATGAAGAAATTGATTTTACACACAACACAAACATCGACCTACCCCGTATACCTATCCTTTGTGTTCTCTTGGAATCCCATATTCTCTACTGCGTCGCCGAACATTTCCAATTCGATTTTACCTACATGAATAAACCTCCTAGAAGCTTCCATCGATATCGACATCGACATCAACCATAATAACTAACATCAATATCAAAGATTATCCTCTCGACTTCCTTCAGCTCAACATGGACATTCGAACCACTTAATTCAATGAGCCAGGATTTATCCTTGATTTCGTGGGGAACTTGTATTCTTTTCGTTGGTCAAAGCCGGTATAGTGGCCCAATAATATTGAGTCGCCGTGACCTTCCTTTCCTTGCTTTAGTGGTGTCTCGAGTCTCGACTTTGTAGTAATTGCGAAAGATAGGAAGTGCAGATCATCCCCGGTTGGTATCCCAGCCTCTCTGTGGACCCTGAAATAAGATTTGACCTGGGTAGGGAAGCTTGGATATTAATGAAAAGATGGAAAGTTTGGAGGGAAGATCTTACTTTTCGATAATCGATAGACGTCACGACTCACGATATTCTGGAGGAGTGTTTGAAAGCAATTGAGTTTGTTTTTCGATATGGATGATTTGTTTATGAACCTGAATTGAACCCCAATGACAAATTGATGGAGTGAGAGAAGAGAAATGTACATACAGAGTATGACCAAGTAAAAGAAACACATTCCCACTTTTCTTTGCCAGCGAAGCATGAAAACACTGTTAGGAAACTTGGTTTTTGGGACGATGGTTACTACTTACTAGGTAAATAAATCGTCACCGTGATTTGCACTCTTTTTTGTACCGCGTACGTATATCGCTGGAAAAGAGCAGCATCTGTGTAACCATGACTTGCAAGATGATTAGCTCAAGAATGCCAAAGTGTACCTACTAGGTAATTAAAATGTGAGTGGATGATCAAAAAAGCATGAAATTAAACATGGAAGATCTGGGGATGGGATAGAAGGTAAAGTTACCCGGATGGTATGGGATGGGATGGGATGGTATGGTATGGTATGGGATGGATAGCATAGCATGGCATGAGAAACATTTGATTGTCCATGCAGTATCACCAATATCACCCATCTCACCCATATCACCAATGTCACCCACCTGGGCATCCATGGATATCATTAATCTCAGCCACACTATCCGTGATGTCAGAAAGAACTAAATGAATGCGCCACGCCACGCCACATCTGCTTTCGACCTTACTTGCATGCCTCATGCCTCTACCTCCCAAAACCAACCTTGGATTTTCCTTTTCACTCCTCTTCCTTGTCGATAAATGCGGAGAAATGTACCAACGATTTCTTGGAACTTGACATGCACCCAATGCCCACGCATCAGTATCTGCAGGCGAGTGAAAGCTGGACAACATCACTCCCCCAAATCCCGCCTTGGTGTACATACAAGGAAAATCATATTTCCAGCCATCTTATATCGAATTCGTGGCTGGTATCCTCCACTTCTGATGATACTACTGGCCCTTGACAATGAATGAAGTAAAGATGCATCAACTAGTACAGTCCAAACGGCAACGTACATTTGCGAGTTCACAAATCGGTGAGAGTTTCCAAGCTTTGGGGAAAAGACATGGCCAGCGTAGACAGACTTGTTGGCAAAATGACCCTCGCAAAGTATAATTTTTTATTCGTGTTGGAATATTCAGATGAAAAGGCACTGGGCACACGGAGGTCAACAGATTGTTCCCAAAAGGGTAATAAATGAATGAATTTGAATTTGTAAATATTGAATCATCAGAGTATCCATATATTGAGATTGAGGTACAACTTACAACTTACAACTTACAACTTACAACTTACAACTTACAATGATTAAAATTAGATGATGGTCATACAGCTTCAATTTGGTAATTAGTTTTTGATATATCCAAACCGTCTACTCTGTACCCAGGGATCTTGTCAAAGCGAATACTTCGTGGGTAAATAAGCACCTTTATCCAGAAGAATCTAACTACAAATGGATTAGATTTGCCTCATTAACTCGATTGTGAATTAGTCAATTGGCTGGTTGAGAGAGCTAACAATCATGCCCAGCTTCTACCAGACTCTAACTTCTCTAAGAGACTGATGGCAAATTGGGTACCTTACCTTAGCTTCATTTTCATGGATCTGGATTTCCCTTTCGTCACTCTTTCCCATCCAAGCTAATTTCTCAACCCAAGCAAGAAAGGAAAAAAAAAAAAAATCAAGCTTCACTCTAATCACGATAGTCAAGGCTCAATATTCACTCTGACTTCACTTCGGCTTTTCATGGTCCTTCCTCGTTTGTTAAAATTTATAATAAGATTCACTTCCACCCCCCAACCCAACTTACTTTCAAACCAGTTCACTTTTCTATAAACAAAGAAAAAAACCTTCTTCCATCTTCCCATCCACTTTCGTCACACCTTTCCATATCCATCTTCAAAAGTAAAGATAAATAACTTCTAATCACCATCTCAATCCAATAAATCTTTTCGAACGACCAACTCTCTTCAATCTCAAAGATTCTATAATACAACTTACGAAGTATACTTCCTCAAACCACAATAATCAATATGAAGTCCTCAGTTATCCTCGCCATCAGCGCTTTCGCAGCTGCTTCCGTCGCTCAAACCCTCACCGATCTTCCATCATGTGGTGTAAGTATTTAATTCTTGTTACCATATGCTCATGTCGTCGCCGTCAAATTGCATGCGCTTTGTGCAACTTGATTGCGACTTTTCTCTCTTCCATATGCAATGACTAATTCTCTCTTCCATATGCAATGACTAATCTTATTTCTTCTATAGCAAACCTGTATCAGCAACATGCTCGCTCAAGCTCAAGCTCTTGGATGCTCTTCCCCTGATGCTGCCTGTCTTTGCACCAAGCCAGACTTTGCCTATGGTATCCGTGATTGCTCCAATGCCGCATGTGGTACTGAAGCTGCTGTTTCCGTTATCGCCTACGGCCAAAGCTACTGCGCAGGTATGATATTCCTGATTTCAAATTTTAAATTGATCTTATTCTAACACTCAATAGCTGTCTCTACCACTGGTTCCGCCGAGTCATCCACCTTGGCTACTTCTACCGCCTCTGCTTCCGGCAGTGGTTCAGCTGAGTCATCTGTAAGTTTTATCCATTCCTTCTTTCTTTGGCATGACGTCAATTTCTATTTGTGGGGTTCTCGGTGGTCCGCAAATATTTCCAACGACAAAGAAATTTAGGCGTCCAGGAACAGATTGATTTCAACAATGATTTCATCGTCAAGTAAATTTGAATATTTACTAACAAAATTCAATAGGCTGCTGCCAGCTCTTCTGCTATCACCACCTCTGCTCTCCTTGCAACCGTTACCTCTGGATCTGAGACCATCACTACCACCATTGGTTCCACTACAATTTACGGTGCCGGCGGTATTGCTGTTGTATCCTCTACTCCAATCTCTACCGAAGCTGTCGTCTCCACCATTACCAGCGATGATTCTACCTTCGAGTCTACCATTGGATCTTCCACCATTTACAGCACTC